TAAATCTCAAAAAAAGCCCCTTAATTTCCAGTCTATTTTGCCTATATAGACTCAAAACCAGATATATGTGAAACTGTACAGATTCCAAACCAGAACAGCAGTCAGATGAAACCATAGAGGGGTGATGCTGTGGATGTCCCAACCCTGGAAGCCAGGTTGGATGGGGCTAGAAGCAACCTGGTCTACTGGAAAGTGTTCCTGCCCACAACAGGGCGGGGTTGGAACTGGGTGATTTTTAAAGCCCCTCCTAAACTAAAGCTTTTGCCTGTCCTTTTTCCTGGTGACAGTAATGTGCTCAGACTGAAATACCAATCAATTTCCCCTCACAAAAGCATTTTCTCCCTTGTAAAAGAGCATTTAGGCAGAAATTCACAGGCAGTTAGGAATGTTGTCCTGGCAATATCAAAATCCATGGCTGCCTTGGGACACCAGCATGGTCCAAGCATTCCAAGGCTGAGGGTGGGTTTTCTTTATCAGAACTCGCTGCTCTTTCTCAAAACTAGCAGGCTGCCTCTGGCAGGAGTTCAGAATAACATGTCATGTTGATTACAGCCCCTCCTGCGAAGCAGGGAGGTGTCACCATCACAGCAAAGGCATTCCCTGCCACATGCGGTTACACAGCTCTACAGAGTCCAGCCGGTTCTGATGATCGTGATAAATTCTACAGGTGTAAAAAAAAAAAAATAAAAATTAAACACTATTCATTTTCCTTTTTAATATGCTTAACATCAGTTGTTTTAAGAGAGACAGACCATTCCAGCTCTCCCTTAGCTTTCTACGAACTACAAGGAATTCTTGTAAAACGATGCTGTCACATTGTTTCTTTGCCAAGGTTTAACAAATTGTTTTAATAAAGACTTGCATTACTGAACGAGAGTTGTATTTTAAAGGAAATTGCAATGCTTATTTGTAAGAATTCTAGATTATTGCACCAAAATGTGCTTTTTGAATGATTCATCAATATCCATTTCTCATCCTCTATGTTCTTCTATATTAATGTTTGTTTTCTATATTAATGCTTATCTCCTATTCCCTAATTTGCTGTTCTAGCTAATTGCACAAGATATGCAAGGAGAAACACAAATTACTAAATCAGACTCTGGCTTTTAAAAGGCTCAGGGGAAATAAACCAACAAATGGGAAGACAGGGACCTGTTTATTTTCCCTGCTCCTTGTCTGATGGGCTGCACAAAGAGTCACAGGGCTTTAGGGGAACACATGGAATCAACACAGAACAGCAGCCTGGGCTTTTGTGGCTGGGGGGAGGCAGGTTGCTGATCTGTTTTCCAAACCCAGAGTCCTGACAGGGAATTTGCAGGGCATTAATTGCCACGTGGAATGAACGTCCACAGTTCTGTGCTGTCACACATACGTGTCACACGGTCACTCAGCCTGGAAAAGACTTCCAAGATCACTGAGTCCAACCATTAACCCAGCACTGCCAAGTCCACCACAAAAGCACCTCCCCAAGTGACACATCCTTGCTTGAACAATTCCAGGGATGATGATTCCACCACTTCCCTCGAAAGCCTGTTCCAATGTCTGCTCCTCTTTGTTCTCCCGACTGATGACACCACCCGTGAGTTATCCAAGACACCACACGTCATCCTTGGGGCTCACTCTAGAAAGACTGAAATGTTTTTAACCCCCTTGCTGGTGATTTGTTCTGACTGACACAAATTTTCTGATGTGGGGCTTTCATCCTTATTTTCTTCCAGCTGACACTGTTTGGTGACTCCCTAAAAATGTTTCCTCCGAGAGGATGTAAATTAAAGTTAAATGAATGTAGTTTGGCATTCCTGTTTCCCAGAGGTTAGGAGGAGCCATTTCCACTCATTCTCCATCTCCTGCCAGGTGTGCTTGCCAGCTGTAAGGGAGGAAGGAAAGCAACACCTTGCTGGATCCTCATTTTGCCCCACACTGGAAGCAGAGGAGTGACAAAATTGTGGAAGATCGGGATGAAGCCAAGCTCCAAGCAGGCACAGTGTGATCCCTACAGATGCAAATGGAATGCTGACACTTGACTGCCTCAGGCCACCACTTTGAGGGTTCTCATCAGAAAATGGGCTTGGTGGAAGCCACTTCTGAAAATTGCAAAAAATCTGCTTAACACTTATGAAAATACTTGCTTGGAATGACAGGCGGAGAATCTTCTTCTTCCCCACCAGTAAATGATAACTTAGAACAACAGATATTGGTAATCTATGTGTGGAATTACTTTTTTTTTTTTGTACATGCTCACAAATTAAATACATGTGGCCCTAAAATTGAAGAGCGAGTGTCTTGAGGATTTACTTTGTGAAGCCCAGAGATGAAGGTGGTTTTAAACTCAAAATGCAACTTAGAAAGATTCTATTCAGTGCTGATCCTCTCAATACAGGACAATGAAACCTCAAAGCCACTGGAAAAAGGCTGTAAAAATTACTAGGAATCCAACCATATTTTATTGGTGGAAAAAGGTCTTGTAAGACAGTTGAATGGAAGGTGAGGTTCATGCAAAATGTAGAAAAGGCCAGTTGAGTGCAAATATCTAAATTTTTAAAAAAGACAAGCTGTGGTGTTAACAACCTAAGCACAAGGTGTCAGTCATCCTCATTAAGTGCTCTTTATAGAAAACCAAAGTGAGCACATTAGGATGAACAAAATGCTAATTTCACAGAGCAAATGAAAAGATGGTGGAATTAATACATGGATGGTCATAGAAAAGGATAAAAGGGTGAACAGTAAAATGCTAGGATGATAAAGCAGGGAGATCAACATTTTCACTTTCTTCCCTCAATCCTTCTTAATAAAATAGCAATATATTCTCTTCATCATCACCCTCTCCTAATTGTCCTTCCCAATTTCAAAGAATCCATAATTACAAGTCTTCTAGAATCCAGTTAAGAAAATACCATTAACACATCCTAACACTGAAGAATAATACTATTACTTGAATTTTGTGCTTCAAAAACACAGTCTACAATAAAAAACACAGAGCTCTCCCGAAGAGCTTCCACCACATCTAATTTACCTTATGAACACTGGCAGCTCGAGTCCTTTGGCTGGCTCCTTCTCCTGCTTTTGAAGACATCAGTGAGCTCCTGCACCCCCTTCCAGCCCCAAGCCTTCTCATTCCCAGACTGCAGTAATGTGGCTCCAGCTGGATTTTGCACTGCTAACCGATACTCCCTGACACAGGTTGTGGTCTGCAGCACAGACTCGCAGTCTGATCATTGATGGGGGATGTTTTCACCAAAACGTGGGACTCTACGTTACTTTTCAATGTAATGTTTTTTACTTTTAATTTTGTGGTTTTAAAGTTACAAAACTCCCATGAAAAATACTGAGAAGTCTTGAATTGGAAAAATTTAGATTTCACTCCTTTTATTCATTTATTCACCTACCACAAATGGCAGCATTCCTGTATTTTCCTTTTCATATTTTCCTTTCTATTCTCTAAACAAGAGAATGCCAAGTAAATCTGCCATTTCTCTGTCCGTTTTCATCTAATTAGTAACATCATCAGGAGAAAACATCTCCACCTGAGCTGGCAAAGACCCTTCAAGCACTCTACCAGCAGAAAGACAGGTCAGAGACAAATTGCTGACATGAGATGTGTTTGGAGGCTCCTGTGCACCGCAGTGAGCAGTGCAGACTGTTTTTCTTTCCACGTATTTATGACTTATAATATGTCCCAGATCTTGAAATGGGACCACGTAGTTCTGATGATGAACCAGGGGAATTATGCAGCTCACTCCCTCACAACTGGTAACTTCGGATGATTGCTCCGCATGATTCACTTGGAACCCCTTGCTGATCCTCATCATGAAAGAATTATAAAAAAAGGGCAGGAATGGATCGTATGTTTAAGTGTCAAAAACATCTCTACGCCTTTCAGAAACAGGGAAACAAGGAAACCAGTAAAATATACATTTGTCTACCATACAGTGTCAAAATTTAGAGCAACGCACTGCTCCTCGATAAATTGTAAACTGTGCTAAAGTTATGACATGTATTTTGTGTAAGTCCACACTGCATATTATTCCCCTTTAGCAAAACTTTTTGATAAATTCAGAATGCTTAACAGGCATAACACAGCCCTCAATATGTTTGGTGTTACATTTAAAAGCTTTCATTTGCTAAAGTTTTCATGTGTTATTAAAATCACTGCTTGGATGTGGTACAATTTGTATTAAAGGATAATATTCAAACTAAACAAACAGCTTTTTAACAGATGTTTAATTACAGCAGCTCCTCAAACTCTGAAATCACTTCTGGAACTCATGTTATTTCAGATGAAACTATCTGCATACCAATATGGGCTACCTTGGCCCATTATCTTTTCACTTTTGTGGGGCACGATGCAGTTGGGAGCACTTTTGGTCAAGAAGAGCTGGATCCTAATTGCCAGTTTTGGGACAAAATAAACTCTAAACCAAACAAGATACACATAACCCCCCCTTGAATTGTTGCCCTTTTTCTAAGTTCTTTACACTTACCACAAAGGGCAACCTCAGAACTCACCTCTTCCCTGCAGCCTTAACTTTTTCACTCTCTGCATTCTCCAAGAAGTTGTCGAAGTCTGACTTATCCCTTTGTAAGTACAAAAGAATGCAGTTATTTATTGTTCAACTGCTGCTTTATGACAGAAAGATCTTGTTCTCACACTCCTCACTGTCTGTGTACTGGAAAGCTCCAGCTTGGAGCAGAGGTGGAAATCATGGTTAACAAATGCAAAACCAGTTGCTGCTAATAAAACCCGACGGACTAAAATACAGCTTTTATTGTTTTATTAGAAATATGAAAGAAGATTTGATACTTTTGACATTATCTTAGGCTCAACAACCTCATGATACTCTTCTCCATCTTCCTGAGATACGTACTTGGTTCTTAAAGCCTGTTTTCTGATTAAAAAGTTTATATAGCTTAAATACCTTATAACTGAAATCCCAAAAGTGAAGATTAGAGAGTGGAAATTAAAAGAGAAAACACAAAAGGTTTCCAATAACACACACGAAAGATTTTAAATAAATATTTTAATTCTATTATTGGCATTTACAGGTAGAAAGCATACAGTATGTTACAATTTTATCAAAATGTGAAAAATATGGATGTTACATAAGTAACAAATGTAAAAAAAGTATTTTTCTTACCTTCCCTGAAAGTAAGAAAACTATTCAGCATAGGAAAATATTGATATAAAAAACACAGCTTAGGTAAAAAAAAAAAACAACAAAATTTGAAGTTTTTACACAGTACAACAGGTACATCAGATCTGCGTGAAGATGTAAGGACTTTGTGAGAATCTATTTCACCTACAACTTTAGGGAATTGGGGACAACTGGTAAGCTACGTTAATGAATCTACAAGTAGTTTTCCCTCATATCTGCTCCAAAATGCTAGAGTGCAGTAATTTTCTATACAATAAATAATTCTTCAAAATTTCCACCATAGAAAATCATAGAATGCAGAAAATGCCACTCCAAGGTCACAGAGGCTAGGCAGTGCTTTAATAATAATTATGATAATACTTATTATAGTGCTTTATAATGTTGAAGCACTTCAGAAGAGTTAACTAATTAGCCCTCACAACACCCCTGTGAGGCAGGGAACCAAGTGTTCTTCCTGCCTTTCCACGGTACAGATGGGAAAATGGAGTAAGGGGAGAAGCACAGGCTGCAGCAGCAGCACAGCCAAGCTGGGAGGCCAAGAGATGTGGGAATGGACAGGTTTGTCCCTTGCTGCTGTGAGCCAGGGGACTGGGCTGGGCTGACAAATGACCATCAGGAATCACTGGGGTGGGGGCAGGAAGGGACCAGGATTAAGTAAGCATCCCCAAAAACATTTCATAGAGATTCAGAAGCTCTCACACAACTTTGTCCAAAAAAAACCAAACCAAAACAAACAAGCAAAGAAACAAAACAAAAAAAAAGAAAAAAAAAGAAAAAAAAAAAAGAAAGAGACCTGAAATGAACAAATAAACAAACTGAAAAGAAGAAGAAAAAAAAAACTCCTAAAGTGCTGACTGGCTTGAGCTGCTTCTAGCACCTCTTGTATGGAATAAGACTTACAGCAAGCACTGTTGCCAGCAATTATTCAAGCTGATTTATTCCATAAAGTCACATGTGAGCAACTGCAGGATATGGTAACTACATTTTCTGAGACACCTCACTATGGTAATTCCTTCATTCACCATCTTACTTCCATGCACTTCTTAAGGAAAATGGAATCCTCAGTACTCTTGCATCGTAAAACATGTTAGTAGCTGGAGACAATATGCACATCCTTCACAATTGAAACAAAAAATTAGTTCATTTTCAGAACAAAGCATTATTAATTTAAGAACCACGAACCAAACAATGGTAAATAGGAAAACCCTTTTCAAAGGCTGCATGCCGAATATCTGGTTTGCAAATACAATGCATGCAGGAGAAATAAATTCATCCAAGCATAATTAAATTAAAAATGTCTTAAGTCTCTTTCAGCAGCATAATGGTTATTATTTTTAAAGTCTCCTCCAACCAGACTGGCCTGGGGATCAGATGCTGACCTTGGCTTTTCTACAACCATATAATGGTTTGAGCAGGCCCCGTGGCTTTGCACTGTGGCAGTACCAGGAGACAAAGCCTATACATACTGTTCTGCTTCCCCCTCCTTGGAAACAGGCTTGGCTGTACCACCTTTGCCGTCTTCACTCGCTGCTGCTGCTGCTTTCTCAGGAAGCGATGCCAAATCTTTGAAAACATCCACATAATGCCCAAAGCCCGGGCCCCAGTTCAAGAGGTTGTCCCAGTTGAAGCTTCCCGCTTGCTGGCCCAGCTTCCCGGGCAGGGAGCCCTCCCCGGCCGCGCTGCCTGCTGCCTGTGCCCCCACGGGCCCGCCCTCGCCGCGGCGCCCCGGGTACCGCCGCGGCTTCAGCCTCGAGCCGTAGTTGTCCTCATCATCCGCATCCGACTCGTTGACCTGGGACAACTTGGGCATCCTGGAGGTGTAGGCCACGGGTTTATCCCGGTCGTACTCCATCTCGGAGCAGGTGAAGGACTCGTGCGAGTCGCTGTCGGAGGAGGACTCGGGCGCGGGAATGCCGTCGGCCGGGTTCCTCGTCCGGGACAGAGGCCTCCTGCAGTCCTCCTCGGAAGAGGAGCGGCCGTGGTCTGCGCTGCAGATGCTGGGGTTCCTGGGGCGAGGGGTGTTCAGTCTCTCCACCTCTTCGATGGAGAGCCCCACCGGGGGAGATGTCTCCAGCGGGATCTGCCCGATGGGCTGCTTCAGGCGGCTTCCCGGGCGGGAGCTGTGGCCCGCCATGGTCTGTGGGCTCTTGCTTCTCCTCCCCAGCCGCGTGGCGTAGTTGAAGATGCCGGGCTGGCAGACATCGCCATGCATCTCCAGCGGGCTCCCTTCCCTGATGGCGAGGTGCAGCTCCCTGGCTGGGCTGTGCCTGTAGAACGTCGAGGATTTGGAGAAGGGTGCGGGGCTGTGCCGAGACAGGGGGTTGGGAGTGGGGCACGCCGAGTGGCTCAGGGACGTTGTCCTCAAGCCCTGTCCGTAGGCAGGCTGGTAGGTCAGGCTGCTGGCTCCCAGGGGCATGGGGGACTGCCGGGCGAAGCCCAGCGGGCTGTGCCTCTGGATGGAGAACTTGGGAGTGTGGCTCCGGAACTGCTTGTAGTGCTGGATGATGTCAGCGTCCGAGGGGGCGATGCTGCTGGCATTGTCGATGTCGTAGTGCTCTATCTCAGGCTCGGGGGAAGCCAGCGGGGCACTGGGGATTGTCTCCGTGGCATGCGGGATGTCTGTCTCATCGTAGATGAGGTAAGGGTTTTCCCTTTCGATGATGTCGGGTTTCGGGTTCCCTTCGGGCTGCTTCCTGACAGTCATGTCATCACCGTAGGGTGGGATGTTGTCAGGGTCATCAAACGCCACATTCTCGCTCCCTTTCTTCTTCTTCTTCTGCTTCGTTTTCTTCTCCTCTTTCGGCCCCTTTGACTTCTTCCCCCGGCACTGGTTGCAGAGGATGAGGCTGAGGACCAGCAGCGCCAGGACCGTGGCGCAGCTGCCCACGATGGCCGGCACGGCCCAGAGCGGCAGGGACAGCTCGGTGGGGCGAGGGGACGGGAGGCACACGTGGCCGCCGCTGACGCCCGCCCTGCACTCATGGCCGGGGGCACACAGGACCCCCAGGCAGGCCACCACGGTCTCGCATGTCCGTCCCGCGTAGGCCTCGGGGCAGCTGCAGGTGAAGGTGGCGTGGGGCCCGGGCTCGCAGCTGCCCCCGTTGAGGCAGGGGCTGGAGGCACAGGCGCCCGGGGGCACGCACTGGTAGGCGAACCAGCGGTTGATGCACATCAGCTCGCCCCAGCAGGGATTGCTGGCGCACACGTCGGGGCCGTGGCAGCCCATCTTCACCGAGGGGTCTGTTTTGGAGAGCGTGGCAAGGCTGTGCTTGCCGGAGAAGGGGAGGCTCTCCCCGCCGTACTTGATGTAGGAAATGCAGCCGTTGAAGCCTGGGAAAGGGAAAGAAAGGGACAGAGTTGTTGGGAGCTGAAGTTTGAGTCTGCACTGTCAACAGCGCAGTACATACTCTCTGTACATACGCAGTGCATAGTCCACCGTTCACTAAACAAGCCAAGAATTCACATGGTGACCATAGGGAAACACCTATTCTTACAGCACTTAATGTCTTTAAATTGAATTTGAATAAATACGATGTCTAATGACAGAAATACAGGATATTCAATGTAGTCAGTATATTCAATGTGTTTTGGTATATTCAATATATTGAAATATATCAATATTTCAGTATATTCAATATACTGAAATGCTTTTGTCTCCCGATTTTCCCACATTTCTAAAACTTCCTACTTCCCACAGAGAATCCTGAGGGTAGCTGGCTTGGCTGTGCTAGCACCAAACATTATTTGAGTTTGCCTACCGTGCTTCAGCTAAACCTCCTGTCCCCTAAATTCATGGCAATGCTTTTGTTTCTTTGAGTCTTGAGGGGCCTTTTCCCAAACCTCCCATACCTCGGTTACAGTGCTACCCTACAAAAAGTTTTAGTGCTGTGAGAGCCCAGGGAGATGGAATTATCCCCAGGCTGTGTGCAGTGGTTGAGTGAGGTTACAGGAAAATCCAGTCTTTTGCCAGCCTAATAAACCTCTGTATTCTCCCAACTAAATCTTTTCTGGATGGGTTTTGAGGTAGTGCAACCTTATGGTGATCTCTGCTTGGAGCTGTGGCAAAATGCTACACAAAGATGGATACCACTCTGTCATGAAACAGCAAACATACTTGAGCTGTATGAGATGCTATTAAAGGTTGAAGATTCAGGTTCAGTTGGGAGCCCAAGCAAAAGTGGTGATCACCTTGCTGCATGTGTGGCGGTTCCTTGTAGTACTGATGTGATCAACACTTTGTCACATCTGCCTGGATTTGGAAACTTTATTGGACACAGCAACTTCACAGCCCTGTCACCTCGTGCGTTGTCTGCCTTTAACAGCACTGCAGATATTTTTGACTCTGAGTTCATGCAGAGTTTTATACCAGAGCCTTGTAAATCCTTGGTATGTCGTACCCAATGTAATCCAGTGTTAAAATAAAATAAAGTCATATGAATAAGGGATTTTGGACTGTGTGTGCTTAATGGAAGCCAGACATTCCTAATTTGTCTGCAACAGCATTGGGCAGTGGTGAGAGGTTAGTGTCCTCAATTTTCCTTGTTCCAGCTTTCCTAAAGCCTCTGCTTTTTCCACGCACATGCTGCTCATAAAACATACATGTAAAAAGGATAAAGGTCAGCACAGCATCCACAAACTTTTGTACCACATTTCATACACATTCACAATACAAAAGTGTAAAGTGTGAACTTGTTCCACTCAAAAATACTTTATCTGGTCATAATTCATGAAGCCAGGAAGATTTTTCAATACAGAAATATGTGAAAAATACATCTGTATTGTCTGGAGAATCTCACGTTTTGCAGCTAAAAATCACTTCCATCTTTACCTAGCACTTGGGAAATGATATCAAATACATGTTATCTACTTCTTTTGCCAGGGTTTGAGACAGTTACTTGAACTCTTAAGGGAGACTGATTTGCTCCTTAACAGCTAGACATCAGTCAGAGGGTTTTTCCTTATTGTCCTTGCTCAGAAATAAACCCTATTCTTCATTTGACAGCAGGATAAAGTAGCAGGACCTTGGAGTTGCAGAAAATATTTTAATCATATTAAAATATGTAAATACTGCAGGCTAAATCCTGCAGTACTTACCAAATCCCTATGAAGTTTTTGTTTAGCATTTTTGCCCAGATGAAAGATTTGCCTTCATTTTCCAGGTTATGACTCAGGTAAAGAGTACATCCTTTCTTCTTCATAGGGGTAACAAAAATACAGCAATTGATGTACAAGCAACCCCCCTGTCTCAGAAAAGCCCTGCAGATGGAGTGCCTGCTTTTGGAAACAAGAAGCCTGCAGTGTGTACTAAAGGAACAAAGTCTGTAATCCTTACTCATTCAATTTGTGTTTTTTCTGGCAAACGATGGACATACACTAATTACTGATGAAGAATTACAGTACTTAGGGAGAAAAAAAAATATATACCTGCAGCTGTGCTCTTGAAAGGTTGGCTGGATGGAATTCCTCCCAGAGAAATGGTGAGGACGTTCAGGCCACCGAAGTCTTGGGTGGCATGGAGAATGTCCCGGCTGTGAGTCCTGTCCACTGACAGGATGGTGGCAGAGCCGTTCTTCTCCAGGAGGACCGAGTGCCACTGGCCATCTGCAGCATACACCTCAGGGATGTTCCTTTCCACTTTCCCAGCAACTCCAGCATCAGATATGTAGTGCACCTTCCCACCTTTTATCTGCTCAGAAGAACACACGGCATGTGATTTTAAAGTGGTGTCACTTGAGTCCTACGCACACGTAACCAGCGTGATGCCTACTCACAGCTACAGTAACACATGGCTTTGGTGTAATAGAAAGCTGGGGTGGGTATATTTTTCCCCAAAGAATTGCTTTGGGCTAAAAAGGCATTAATTATTTAGTGTTAAAAATTTGGCCAGAACTAAATACATCACATTGTAGAAACTTCAGCAGAAAATTGCATCTTAGAGCTGCCAACCATTCAACCCCTGGCTAATACCACTGAGCAGCCAGCTATAGGTCATGCACATGACAACACATTTTAACAAGAGAAAGAATAGTTCTCCCTCCTCATTCAAGGCAAGTGTGGAAAATGCTTAGCAGAGTGAACAGATGTTGTCCTCGCCCAAGAAAATTGCATCCAGTTTTTATTACGACACAGTAGGAATGCATGAAGCATGGCTGGGCTTGAGCAAGAGCCCCATTTCATATCTGCTTTTTCTGCTAATTGGTATTTTGCAGAAAATTTTTGTGGTATTTCAGAAAACTTTCTGAAGAGTTGCAAAGTGCGTGATTTTGTGAGAATTTTCAAACAGTACTTTATTGAGCAAACTGCTTTAAAACTTGTGAACAGCTAGGGAAAAAAGGAAGAATATCTTAAGAATGATGCCTCACAATTCTACTGAATCATGAGATGCGGGATTTCAAACCTCTTATTATGATCCCAAAGTGAGATCAGTGCAAATTCTGCACTTAAGATGTAGGAGCTTAAAAAGAATCCCCAACATCCAACCCTGCCAGTTTCTCAAATAGTGCATAAATTTGGGTATGCTGGCTGACCTCCTAAGTGCATAGAGAACTGCGCAAACTCATGGAGGATGGCTCTGGGACCTGCTGCAAGTTTCCTTCGGTGCTCTGCATGCTTGGTCACACATATTCCTGCATGTTTGGTCACACATATTCCTCCATGTCTGGTCACATATATCAAATGGAACAATTAAATGGAACTGTGCCCCACTACGGCTCGGTCAGTCCGAGATCCGTACCCCGAGCATGCGGGACGTGCGCAAGCAGAGCCCAGGAAAGGTCACAGCCCCAGGTTTGCTGGAAGCTCTCAAAGCCTTGCATCCTTTGTTCCAGGAAAAATAAGGTTCACCTGGGAAGAACTGTGAGGTGACACACCGGCTACAAGAATGCTGCTCTCGTTTCCAGACACTGTTAAATGTTCTGGATTTGCTTCTCCGGTGATGCAAGCTGAGGACTTTGCTCAGACACTCCAGCTTTAATAAGGCTGTAAGACCACGCTCATGTCTTGGCAGCTGCCTGAATGAATGCATCTAGCACGTATTCCATTTGGATGGAGGATACAGCAGTGGTTAATATGTGCATTCACTTCGTTTATGAAGGCAGTAATTTAGATTATTTGAAAATGTATTGCTTGATAAAGGTTGCCTCACAGACAGGATGCTTTTGTTACTGATAAAACACAAGTGGCATGTGTCTAAACTACCACACAGCCCAAGGAAAATCCCACAGTTACAAATGTAGCCCACAGACTATTAAAACACATTAAACATCATTTCTCACAATAATTTATAAAAGGCTTGACTGAGCTGAATATATGTATGTCTGCAACCTGTATTGGTTTGTTATGTCTTGTTCTGTCTTTTGTGCCCCATAAAAATACTGCCTTGTATTTTAGTCTTTATGGAAACAGAAAGGAATACACCATGCCAGACAATACCCTCCAAACTTAAGGGAAGACTGAGCACAGAAACAAATTTTTAATTTCACCTTAGAAAAGACCTGTAGAATTATTTACCTGCAACTGATATTTTCCATAGAAATTCATGATTCTTTAACCCTATTTCTTTATCTTTAAAATTGCACGTGACTAATGCTAAAAGACTCATAAATAACATAAAAGGGGCATTTGGAAAAGAAAATTTCCAGAGACAAGACTGGTCCATGACTGCTTCAACCAGGACAAGATATGGAATGGTGCCTTGAAGCAGAACATGTTTCTAAATTTGAAACAAAGGCTGAAGTTGACAGCATTGAGTAACACAAATTTCTGGGTTTTATTTAAATGGCTGAGCAACTGACAAGTAGAATATAATGAAAAGAATGAACCATTAAAGCAAATATATTCCTAACTACAGGGCTGATTCGACTTTACTAATATTCCAAGTCTCATTTGCTGAACAAATTGGGTTTTATTTATCCTAAAACTAGCCATTGAATGGGATGTCATTTAAAAGGGTTATGTTCTGATTAGTTCCCACAACATGATAAATGCACAGAACCATGGAGTGGTTTGCGTTGGAAGTGACCTTAAAGATCATCCAGTTCCAACCCCCCTGCCATGGGCAGGGACACTTTTCTCTATCCCAGGTTGCTCAGTGACCCATCCGGTCTGGCCTTGAGCACTTCCAGGGATGGGGCATCCACAGCTTCCCTGGGCAACCTGTGCCAGTGCCCCTCACACTGAAGAATTTTAGCTGAAATAGGTAAAATGTAATCCACATCTTCTACCCATACAATTCAGAGATCTTAGAGCTCCATTTATGCTAATTTAATCTGACTGCAGCTGAGAAGCAAGAGAAGACAGGCAATTTCACAATTTCACCTTTAACCCACTGTATTTATCCCATTACCTCTAAATGAATTACTTGCAACATGTATTGGCAGGAAAATAAGCTGTGACAAAGAGTTCTAGTAATAAGGAATGCCCCACACTCTTTGTTGTAGTGGATTTTGGAGGAAGCATTTTCCATCTGAATTTGACAATTATTTAATGTAATCTGGAAACGCTTGCATCTTTCCTGGATTAAGGATCCCTTTAAATGATGAAGCCCCCTCCTGGGTTCTTTGCAGGGAGTTTACATCTATCATTTAGTGAATCAACTGCTCACAATCTCAGTGGGTGTGCTTTATTACCATTTCTCTAGTTTTACCCCAATCCCAGCCACACCAAAACCAATTAGCTAAAAGAGGAAAAATGTGAAGGCATGGAAGTAGCCACAGGACTCGTAGCTTTTCCCAAGCATGGTTTAATATTAAAAACACATGGCAGGTTTTCTCTGAATGCTAATACTTTGGATAACGGGCATATTAAAAGACACAAAAATCAAGTTATAAAATTGTCTCTTTTGAAGACTGACAAGAATTGTCAAGACAGGTCCCTAAAGCCCAACTTCTGCACCAGGAGTGGATGGAGACGACATGGAGACCTTTGCTGGATTGGCTTCATTGGCATTTCAGGCCACCACTGAAGGGAATACTCATGGTGACACCTACTCTGGGAATGAGGAGCAGTTTAGAGGCCATACTGCACTAGCTACAATTAAATTACTGCAATTTTACTAACTAGCATCACCTGAGAACTGCTTGGCAACCAGCACCGCTCTCCTTCCTCAAACTTCTGCATCTGGTACTAGGCAAACCTCTGCTCTCTTCCCTTGCACAGCTGGGGCTGGGACTCAACACCCTCTGCTTGCTTGTATAACTTCACCAATATTAACAATAACAAGAGTGTTTGCTTAAACACAGCACCAGTGTCTTAGCCAGCAAAGGCAACTCTTTTTTTTTTTTAATAACACTTGGAGAGCTCACCTAGCACATTCTACTAGGGGGGGAGAAAAAGGTTTTTTCTCTCCAGAAGTCAAAAATAATGAGATCTTATCTGCTAATACAACCTAGGCAGAAACTTCCTATGAAATGATGTGGTAAAAGCATATGCCAGGGAAGTAGTGCAGACTTGCTTCTTAAATGCAGCCTGTGTGTCAGGAAAGCTTTGTAACTCTGACCAGGCAGGTGGAGGATATCCATGGGGCTGAAGCTTAGAAAGTGTGAATTTCTGTATCAATTTCTCTAGAAGTTAGGGAAGAAAAAGTTGGAAAGCCTTGCAGCAGTCAAGGAAACTTGGAGCTTACACCAACCCAATAAAGGGGCTTGCCAACATCACTGCTGTACTCAGAGTTATGAGTAAATGGACTGAGTCATCGCCAGGAACCGTACCATCGCTTTCTCTTGAGAAAGGTAACTTCTGCAGCAATAAGCTCTTTGAGGAAAGAAAAAACAACAAAAAGCCCCAAAACAGTGTGGCATTTGAAGCATTAATTTGGCTATGTATGCCAAAATAATTTGATATTGACACTGGACTGTAAGTAACCTCATGAATTTGAGTTATCCCTCACTTCCTAGTTTGATAAGCTTGAGCCATGTTGGTAGGAATTAATGAAAACTTTTTGGCAATTGTTTGCTAGCTTAAGGAGGGTCTGGGTTCAAGGCTCAAAAAAATCAGAAGATAAAAGACCAATAACAAAATGATTTGTACTGTAAAGTGTAATGATGATAATAACCATGGCAATGAGCACCATTCTCATCGCCTTAAAACAGTCACTATTTGGAGTCCAGACAAAACTGATTAGATATAAAACCATCAAGATCTTCTGATACCTTGGCAAATAGGAAGGGAATTGTTGAGAAGATGAATGATACTGGAGCAGTGCCTAGTCTCAGTTAAAGACCTAATATTTCATAAAGGAAACAGAAAGAGTAATGGAAAAACGCAACTTCGATCACCGCGCACGAGGCAGTCCAATCAAACCAAACTTGGCCTTAGCTGTAATCTCACCTTCACGGTAGTGAAGTTGCTGCTCTCTTGGACGTGGAGCAGAATGCCGCTCTCGCTCCTCGTCATGAACTTCACCTCCAAGCGCTCCACGCCCGGCGGGCCCCAAGCCCCCAGTCTCATCAGGTAGTCCCGCTTCTTGTTGGGGCTCATGTGGTAGTCGAGGCGTCCCTTGCCCTCCAGCGACAGGGCCGTGTCAGCAGTGACATCTGGGACAAGCACAGGGAAGCGCTGAGCACACAGTTCCCTACAGCTCCAGCCATCCTCTGCCTCACCGCCACCGCCCTTGCCCGGAGCCCAGATCAAGTTCAGAGCAGGTCAAGGGCGAGGGGAGCAGGAGTGAATGGCAACTGCAGCCCCTCTATTCTTTGGCTTCCACCATAATGTGTGTTTGAGAGTGGGAGTGTGCGAGCAATTTACTGCTGCTATCAGTCAAGAGTAAATTAAAACTCGCTAGGGAACAAGTGAGGGAGTAAGGAAAAAAATTTGGCTCTCAGAACTGTAATTCCTTCCCGGGGATGTTACTGTTTCCATTACTGCATCGGGGTTTCATGATATATTGAACTCTAAGCTCTTCAGGGCAGAGATAATGACTTTCTATTTGTTATGGCATAAAAAAAAAGTGAATAAAAAAGGCTTGACTTTGACTACCAAATGCCGTTAAAATTATGGCTAAATTCTTTTGTAAACCGGTCCAATAAAAGCAAATAAATCAGCTAAACAATAATAGGGCATGTAAAAAAACAAAGCCCAGTCATTATACTACAACTACATGGAAATAAATCACTTTGCTCTCCTGAACAATCCCATATTGATTTACAGGGCTACTCCTATGAGAGTTAATCACCCCCAAGCGTAAATGCCTTGTTTACATTTACAATATTTTCTTGCATATAATCTACAGTCAATTTGAGGAAATGGACCTTAGTTTGGAGAAGCCATAAGCACATGAACTCAATGTTTATGTGAAGGGGTTTTTGCTTACCCTCTTACCTCCCCATAGCAGGCAAATCCCTCCTATGGGATACCTTTATTTTAGTTACAGATTATATGTTATTGGGAAGCAGGACTTTAAATGAGTGCAAGTTACCTGAAATGTGATATACTGACCAGAAAACGTTATGTATTCAAAATTGTTGCCATTTTTAGCTCACAAAAGGACAACAGTCTATTGCGGAATTTTAAACTACTTAAGAGGCAACATGCTGCTTGTTTTCATTATTTTACAAAAATTCATTATCCCGTGTCCCTGAAAAGAAACTCTTAACAGCCTTTGGTTAAGCCACAGTCAGGTGTATGTTAAAGACAGTGAAACCTCCTCCTCACATTTTTCACAGTGCCTTCCTGTCAGTCCATCCTTGCAGTGACACTGTTGCCACGACCACTGATCGACACAAGTGCCACCGTGCTGGCAGGGGCTGGTCGTGCAAGCACCTTCCAGTCTGGGACACCTGAAAGGAATCAGAAAAGCAGATGCTGAAAAAAGTGCACACAAATAATTAGAGCAAATGTGCTGGGAAGTGTCCTCTGTTTAAATGGCACTCCCTTTCTTCCCCTCAGAGATGCTAAAGTGGCTCTTCTCCCCATCCCTGGAAGTGTCCAAGGCCAGACTGGATGGGGATTGGAGCAACCTGGTCTAACAGCAGCCCCATGGCAGGGATGTTGGAACTGGATGACCTTTAAAGTCCCTTCCAACCCAGCCCATTCTGTGATTCTAAGAATCTCTGTAGACAGCTCAAGTTTCTAAGCAGATCCCAATTTTCAGCATCAATTCATAGCAGTCTTACAAAAGAGGAAGAAATTCAGAGACAGCCAAACTCCTACTATCTGTTATGCAAGAGAGAAGAAACCTTTTCAGACTTTTTTTTTATGCTGGAGACTGCCAGAGTCTTTGTATTACAATGATCAGTGCAAACATGGGGGCTGAGAGAGGAAGTGTGAATGAGGAAATCTGGATGGAAGACTGACAATATTGCTGCAACTGTGACTTCAAATACTGAGATGGAAAAAACAATAGAATCGGATAGTCCATCATTTCTGAAAGACCACTCAGAGAATATGAGGGAAATTCAGTGATACTTGAGAGGCAAAGTGAGAGAACAGACGTGGTGGATTAAGAGGAAATAAAAGGGAGTAGAGGGCTAGCAAACAGTACGAGTACAGTCAAAACCATGTGGAATTTATAAAGAAATCCAAGAATGGGGGCTACTCAATTTCAGCCCGCAAAGCAATTTGAATAATCACGGACAATAGAAATGTAATGATGCTGCTTTTGTTTTTAAGACTCTGTAATCTTTAGTGAACCTTTAATCCAAATTCACTTTCTTCCTACATTTTTCACATTTTACAGTAGCTTCTACAGTCTTTTTTTTCTAACAAGAAATATCTGTTGGTGTCTGAATGGAATAGCACTCATGACAGCTTCCTTTATTGCAAACGGGGTCCATTTGATCCCAAATATAGCAGACGTACTGATCTAAGATTCCTTGGGCTGCCAAAGCCTGGCTGGGCTCCAGGGGACGTCCATTGACTGCAAACTCCATTATGCAGCCCACAAAATCATGGCTTTCCACCTGTCCTCTCCTCTGAAGGATGGGCTCTATGGACCTGATGCCACCAACAGTAACTCGATTTGGCTGTACATCGAGAGTCCTGTGAAAGAGAAAAATGACTAATCAGTACCAGACATCAGAATAGTGATGACAGCACAGGAACTGCAACCATCAGTTGCAGCCTGTGGCTAAAATTCCTCTTCCCAAATTGGTATTTCACATTTATAAGGGGGCACAGAGATCAACAGCACTTGAACTAACAGTTATAGTGACTATGACTGTAAATTCACACTCAGTTTACATGTCAGAATTTCCAATCACTTGACTGAGCAGTGTGCTTAAGATCACAACAAATAAGGTTTTTTACCCAACTATAATTGAGATTATAGATGATATTAAACAGCAGGAAGATGGACTCATTGTTTTACTAATATGTAACACCTCTGCTAGCAGGGAAACCCTGTGTGGCAGGAAACATTGTGATTATTGTAAGAAATTAGCCAAAGCAATTTGGATTAAAGTTACTGTTATCTCCAAAAATCTGAGCCAAAGACTACTGAGTTGGTTACAGTAAACACCAGAAATAAAGTTTGATTTCTTTACTGGACACTGTTTACGAACTCAAAACTGTAACAGAAAACACCTGAAAACAATGTCAAAGTACTTACTGTTAATATTTTTTTAACAACAGCACTAATCAGATGATTTCATTTCTGACATCTTTATGAGCAATGAGAGGGGCAGTTTAAATAAATATATGACCCCAAATCATTAGTTAACAGATGTTATTCTCATTTGTACCACAGTGCAAACTACTCATGGCCATGCACTTCCTGACTGCCACCAGAGCCTGGGGACAGAGATGGTGCTGAGAACTGGGGATTTCTGAGCAAACTCCTTGTTGTGATCCAGCTCCATGCAGAAACATAGCCTGAACTAGCAAGCAGCAGCACACGCAGGAAATTTAATTTGCTGCTGCAAAGATGGAAGAAACTGACACTTGGGAGCCTTATCATTATCCCAACTTTATCTGGCTTTACAGGGAGATTTCTTCTTAACTTATTCTAAAAAAAAACCCCACCCAAACCCAAACTAACGCCATAAAATGAAGAAATATTTACCAGTCAGTCGAAACAGCAACGTTGCTAACAGTGCAGTAGCCTGGCTCCTGGTCCTCAGAGCAGGAATCCACCGTCAGGGATGCTGCCTGCAGAAGGCACACACACAAACATGCTGGGTATTACAAGGCTTTAGTCCCCAATCACATGCACTATTTAAGTGTATTATACCAAGGACTTGGCCAGAAAGGAGCACTTGTATGTCATGATGTCACATGGGATTGCAGGGTGCTTCAGAGCCACTGCTCAACTCCACACTCTGCCAGCATAGTGTGGATACAGAGAGGGAACCAACTGTCTGCCTCATATAGAGATAGATTTAAACACCAATTTTTCACATTTGGACAGCATTTCTCTCATATTTGTTTGCTTTACTCCTGGACACTGAAGTTATTTTGGCTCATACCATATCCTACTCCTGACATGGTTCAGATAATCTGAGCAAAAAGCTGCCCCTTCCGATCACAAAGGGAGTTCCTTCAGGGGCTTAACCATGACATTAAACATATTGAACTTGATAAAAAGCATGTTACAAAAGCTGGGAGTACATACATTGAGATTACCAGTTAAAAAAAATGACCCTGGGAGTAGAAACACTGAGATTACCAGTTAAAAACAATAACCAACCACTCAATAGAACTCAAAAAGTAACCAAATGGTAACCCCTTGACTAAGAGGTCAGGAGGGATCTCAACTTTGACAATGGAGAAGCATCTGGACACCTAGAGTGGGACCAAGCTGATGTTTCGAGAAGTACCAGGCATTACCACTACTTACAGCAGTCTTGCTCTTTAATTATTGTTGTTACTATTACTATGTTTACCCCCAAGCTGTCAAGTCCTAGACAACAACGTTGCCTCAACCTGGTCTAGTGGAAGGTCTCTGTGCCCATGACATGGGAACCAGATGATCTTTAAGGTTCTTTCCAACCCAAACCATTCTGTGATTCTGAGACTACCCATCTGACTTATTTACACTAAAGCTACTCATGGCACTTCTATTTGTAATCTATAAAAGTCTAACCAAGGCTGTCACTAAAATCATGAAATAACTCCTGCTGATTTGAAAAGGAGTTTTTATTTTATTCCTTATTTAGCAAAGAATTGTCCCCACAGTGATTTATTAATAACAGATGCGCTGAAAAAATGAAACTCCAACCAACCCTGAAGGTTATTCCTTAAAACAAATTTTCAGAAAAATAAACATAATCTCCACGTTGTACATCTCCTCATGTTTCAGCTAGATGTGTGGTAGAGTTTTACAGCCAATTTAAATCAAATGCCACCTTTAAAAATGCCTAGGTTTATATTTTGATTTAGACTGCTCTATGGGAGCTGAGCAAGCACCACTGGCTATCAGTACATCATTACTCTGCAGAGGTTTTTTCTACTGCCTGCAAATAAGTTTGGTAACAACAACCTGTTGAAATCCCCATAGATTGGCTGTGCTAGCTCCAAATACATGCTGCAAGCTGACACACTGTATTGACCAAATAAATTCAGAGCTCTTAGCCCTAAATCATGCCCTACAGTACGATTAAATTGTTCAATCTGCTATTTTTAATGGAAGCTTATCTTGAATTTCTTTCCATACAAATGAGCAAAGTGCTTCTCCCAAGAAATGTCAGTCTGCAGTTCCAAAGCAGATTATAGGCTGTGTAAATGAAACAATTCAGAGAAAGAATAATAAGCTGGCTGCTCTGTATGCCACCACATGCATACATATTTTTCCTTCAGAACATCAACAACAAAAACTGAAATGAGTTTTTTTGTTCTTAGCTCAATCAGCATAATCTCCCTAACTTACATCGCTATGTGCTCTGCAAGCCAAGCTCCAGCCCCAGCTGAAGGGCTGGATATTTGAGAATATATTTTACTTGGAACAGAGTTCATACAATTTATTTTCTAATGTTAGTCAAATGTTCCTGCTTGTTACTTAAGCATTACTCTACAGTTACCTTGCCACATTATGAGCCTTTCTATCCTGTCACTTTGCAATAGCTCAAGGACTGACAACTTAATGATTTTACCAGTTTCCGATAAAATCCCACTGTGCTGTAGGAAATGACAGATTTGGAATCCTAAAGGGGGCCTATTTTATACAGTTTTGGGCACCTGGGAGACATTTTTCCTGCAGCAGAAATATCTAAGACAAAGGCGATTCTCTTCACATATTGTTTGTAAACAGCTGACATTACTGAAGAGGTTTAAACATTAAAAACAAACAAATAAAAAAAATCATACAAAGGCATAGGTTGTGTTAAATATTTGCTTTTAGCCTGAAGCATTCATAGCTGAAATTTCTATAAATAGTCCTTTTTATGTTCTCTCTTCTTCTACAGTCTTCTGGCACACTGACAAGCAAAACATTTTCTTTCTCTGTTTTTTTTTTTTTTTTCTTCAGTGTACTTCATTTATTTGCTGCAACTTTTTACTCTGTGTCCCTACACTTTACCATATACATCTTATTTATAGAAGTAACATTCTACTTTAATTACTAGAATGGGAACCTGGTGCATGGTGCAAAGGTAAAGCACCTTTGGGCTTTACCATTAGGAACCCGTGATGTAAATTTTTAAATTTGCAAGATGCAAATTGAATATCTGATATCAAAGCTAAATCAAAGTCATTGCTCAACATCACAACCATCCTTCATCTTATTTGGATATATAAGTCTTAAAAACACACACAAATTGGATTTGCAAATCCAGCTGAAGACTGGATTTCACAGAACCATAGAATCCTTAATGTTGGAAAAGATCTGCAGAGTCCAACCACTAGGCCAGCACTGTCAAGGCCACCACTAAACCATGTCCCCAGGTGCCACATCTACACATCTTTTTAATACCTCCAGGGATGGTGATTCAACCACTTGCTGGGCAGCCTTTTGCAGGCATTGACAACCCTTTTGGGGAAGAACTCTTTACTGATATTCAAACTAAACCTACCCTGCTGCAACTTGAGGCCATTTCCTCTTCTCCTGTTGCTTGTAACTTGGGAGAAGAGACCAATACCCAGAATAAATGGAGATATCAGGTCTTGCACTACAAATGGAATAGAGTTTAGGGTTCAATGGAGCCACACTGCGTAGAAGAGTTTACTGCTTTTATTCCCTCCATCACTTCTAGCTTGACATATACAAACCAAAATGGGGAACCTCACAATATATTATTGCTCTATGACTAACTCCAAACATGAATTCCACGTATGCTGGCCATTTCTGCCTGAAAAGGGAACTCTTGGGCAATAGTTACTGATTATGGATGGCAAATAGATTTTCTTTCATTTCTAACTCAAACACTGCAGAGTCAAAAAACTTGGCTTGGATTCAAAGAGCATTTGGTTTATGTTCTGCTTTGGAAATATTATTAAAAAATGAGAGAAGAGGAATAGAAAACATTTTCTGGAGAAAAAAAAATTAAGGCAGGAGAGGGGTCAGAGTGCCAGGCATATGGTAATCAGTTGTCCCAATTTTTGGCAGAATTCCTCACCTCAGATGCATTCTGGGGGACAGAGAGAGAAGTAACTTCCCTCCTTCCCCTCAAAAAATTCTCTTAATGTAGCACCTTTTAACCCTTCACATGTACGCTACAGAGGAAAATCAGGCTCCCAATCTGATGAGATTGGAAAAATCTCTGAATTAGCTCAAGGAGGTCATGGATGCCTAGAATTTTAAGTCTGTCCACTTCTATTTTCCAAATGTTGAGAAAAATTATTTTGAGGCTTTTTGCAATTACTGTGGCTAATTAGCATTCCCTGATAATCATCCCTGTAATATACAGCAGTTAATTAGCCCTGTGCGTAATCACCTATGTCATTAATTATTCCTGGCTCTCATTTTTCACATTGAGAGTTTGGGGGCACTTTGCACACGTTTTTTTCATTACACATCATCATCCCAAACAAATCGCCACAGGGCTTTGAGTCACTTGGAATAAGGCAGAAACGAAGGAGGTTTTTCCCAAAGTTGCAGTTTCTGCTAGCAAACGCAATGCCACTAATTTCACCTTCCTCCGAGTTTGCCTGGAAGCCAAACTGAATGCGCCTTAAAATCCTCATTTTAGCCCTCCTTACCATGCCAGCCCGGCGGGCGATGGCGGTGTGGAACTGTCCATCAGACACCTTCTTAGCCGTGGTGAGCTTGTACGTGCCAGCGCCCAGGTTGTAGGAGAACCTCAGCCTCCCTTCCGCTATCTCCAGCGCCAGGAATTCCGCCCGCTCCCCAGTCTGGTTGTCGTAGTTGTACAGCAGCAAGGCGTTACTCTTTATGGTGGCAAACTTTATGTAGATGTAATTATTGTTGGGATCCATACTGGGGAACTCCATGTAGGACAGCTCTTCAAATCCGTAACTGTTCAGCTCGCAGTGATTCCCAAAAACACCTGAAAAACGAAAAGTAGTCTGGAATCGGGGAGGTTTTTCCTCACCGTGCCTTCTCCCAGGAGTGAAGTATGGATGTGCTCTCCACATGGCTGTGGAACCTCTAATGTACAATTAAAATCACACAACCAACAGAAGAATGCTATTACCCACAGCTGGGGGCTGAGGTACATTGTATTTAGAGTTAAAAATTGAATTACAAAGGACAGATGCATCTATTGAAAAGCACTTTGTCGAGTTCCGTGCTTCTTTGGAAAATACCAAACCAAGCCAGCTTGACAACTCTGTCAAGACATGGCTGTTAATTATCATCAGGCATTTATTAATCCAGCTATGGAAATAAATGTGCAAGTTGAGTTTATTTTTCGCTCTGCGGTTGTTATCTGAACTGTTTCTCACTGGGTGGTTCATTTTTTATACTTATGAAATAAGCATATGTGTGATTAAAATATTATGCCTCCTCATGTTTTTACTGATATTCATATTTTGGTGCATTCTACATACTTCTTTTCAGATCTCTGTCACATAATTTCCCTTGATTTTTCTTTTACTGCAGCAACAATGGGAAAAAAACCCTGATTTAATGTATGAATATTAGTTACATTTACAATGGGAAATTAATTGCCCTGAGGAAATGTACAATAAAGGAAATAAAATAGAATAGAGAAATTATTCCACATACTAATAGAAAAACATATTCAGCATTAGTTACAAATGCATATTGAGAACTACACTTTTGCGAGAGGGTTGTCAGCAACCTTAAAACACTGTAGATGATTTCTGGACATTTCTGTTTATTTAAAAATTTGTTACATTTACTATTATACTTTTCCATATGAACCATGGCAATTTTGTATTAACTATAAAAATATTGGTCTTCATTACTAAGGTTTTGATTCTGCATTTAGAATCAATCTTGCTGCAGTCATGTAATGATGCCTTAAAATATCCATGTTGTTCTATGTTTTTATTGGGTCAGTTCCACAAACCAAATCTGGGATAATTAAATTCTAAAAATTATGAAACTATTTTGGCACTACTATATGCTTCTCTGATGTAAAATACTGATGTTATTTACAGTGGTCTTACTCTTCAGCTCCACTAAAAGTGCCTGTTATTCATCAGGAGAGCTTTGTTATCATCATACTTCTTCCTTCAGACTGAACTTTGGATATTCTTGGTGGTGAAGGCACTTCAGCCCTGATCCAGGTGTGGTTGAGTCAAGTTTCTTCTTTAGGAAGCCAACAGTCTTGATTTAAGTATTTCAAGCATCTATTCTTACTTTTAGACAGTTATCTCTATCTATCTAATCAGAAATATTCTTTCTAATTTTTAGGCACTGAGTTGTTTGGCTGGGTCTTTTGTTTTTTTCTGTGAGAGATAAAGGACCTGCTACTAGGAATGACAAATATGTATTTGTTGCGACCACATCACTTTTTAACTTTCTTTTGAAGAAAAATGAGTTAATTGAACCTCTAAAAACATGCGTTTTTTCCAGACCATGAATAATTTTCAAGCCAGAAATAATTTATGCAGGTAAAAATAAACAGAAATACAACTAGGGAAAGGGGAGATGAAGGAGAGAAGGGTACTCACCAAAGGGACAGTGGCAGAAATACCCCTCCAGCCCACTTTGGCAGGAACCACCATTGAAACAAGGGTTGCACTCACAGTAGTTGACAGTGGAGTCACACGTTTTCCCTGTGTTGAGGGAACAAAAGCAATTTCCAGGTCAGACTATTCAGGGAAACAGGAAAGTCAGGCTGGTGTTGTAGGTAATGAGGTTATGAACACATGGCCAGGAGACAGGGTGCCAGGGACCAGCTCTGGGATGGAAAGAGGAATCACAGACAGGACGCTGGGCTGCCCTCAGCCCTGCCATAGGCATAATGTGTGGCCCAAAGAAAGTAACTCCACGTTTCAAGTGTCTCATTGTGACTATAGGTACTGGTGGACTGTTGTTTTAATTGAATTATTTTATTAACTGGTGTCTATAAAAGAGAGATAATTCAATTAAAAGCAATGCTGAATTATTTCAGCATTGTAAAACTGAACTGTAAAAACGTATTTTTTTTCTCCCTGTTGAGTGCAAAGGAGATACAGACAGCCCTTGCTGGACCCTGCACAAGCAGGTCATGCTGAACAGAGGCTGCTATTGTACATTATATGATTTTTCTTATTTTTCCTCATCAATTACAACCTCCTTCCTGACTTGGAGGGACCACAGTCCTCTGGAGCTAAAACAAGCTACCCTGGATACAGTCCTTTTCTAAGCAGACATTGTCACATGTGGTAAAGATTATTCCCCAGAGAACAAACTGAAATCACATAATTCATTTCAGCAAGGAAGGGAACCAAGAGAAAATGTGAAGATTTTAACAGACACCAAATACACACATGTGTATTCCATGTATGAAACTAAAATTTTCTTTGCATGGAAACATTACAAAAATAATGGTCTTCATTTCTGAGGTTTTCAGTGCTTGGCTTTGATGAGTTTAGCAACACCTCCACTACATCCCACTCTTGGAACCTGTCGTCCTATTGCCAGCAGTGCCAACCTTCACTGACTGTGCTCAGCAAAAACTTCGAAGTGTCATTATGTTCATCCTCCCTGCAACACTGCAGAAATTCACAAAAGCAGCCACAGTCTTCCAGACTTCTCCTGAACTTCATCTCAGCCAGACTATATGCATAAAACAAGGGCTAAGATTGTCCTAATGCTTCTTTCTGCATCGATAATTAATAGTTTTATTTCTTACACCATATGCGTACATTTAAGTTAAAAGTACAACATGATCTTGCACAGAGGGTGTCCATTCTTGTATGTCCCATATATCTTGTAATTCTACATCTCCCACGATAGGAATGCACCAGTCCTTAGAGGTTGCTGGTGCAACTTAAAACTGTAGCAAACCAGGACTGTGCTTTATGAACAATGCTACCTTTTTCAGAGTTTAACAACTAGGGTCACCTAATGAAGAAAACCTCCTGTTTTTCACCCCGCTTCTACTTTTTTTGTTTAACCCACAGTTTGCAAGCAGCTCTTCCATGTGAGCAGCAGCTCTCCATGTGTGACTGCAAGCAGGGTGGAAATGGAGCGCTGGAGGATTCCTGCGGTTAATACGTCACTTGTAGATGCACCATAAATCCAGGAAACTTTTCCAGTGTCTGAATCTAATTATGCTTTGGGGGTATTTATTTATGTTTTATTCTCTAATGGGCATGACTGAAGGATGAGCTAAGTTTTTATGTGAGATTTTGCTGTTTTCTTTGTTTTCAATTTATGGTCTGTAGTAGTGGTCTTTGACTCATGAAGGAGAGCACATAGCAAGAGTGAGACAGATATGCTTAAAATAGCTCAGTGATGCTGCTCAGTTTTCACAAAAAATCAAGTGGAGCTAAACAGGCTTACTCAGATTTTTGCAGTTCAATCTAACTAAATACTCCTTCTCAACTAACATTAAAGCTGGCACATTTGCTGAGTCAGCAAGAGAATATGGATATTTATTTCAGCTGCACTTACTTTAACCAATGAATAACAGCATCTCCTTTATGCTTAACTGTTGTTTGAAGAGCTCTTGAAACCAACAGAAGTGTGGTTAAAATACCAGAATAATGTAACCATAGTATGGTTTGGGTTGGAAAGGGTGTTAAAAACCATCTTGTTCCAACCCCCTACCATGGGCAGGGACATTTTCCACGAGACCAAGTGCTCAAAGTCCCATCCAAATTGGCCTAGATGAAAACTGAAGTTAGCTGAGTTTATAGATAAATTCTTGGCTGAAATTCTGAAAGAAGCAAGGTATTCATTTCTGCATCAGAAAGATCTTTTTCTCAAGACCGTGAAAATTAGGAAGCATGCTGGATAATTGGTAACAGACAGCGTTCAACATTTATCATTCATCACCCCCAGCTGATGTTATCACAGGCAGGGGCTTATGCAAAAATCTAAGTTCCTCAAACATATTTTTTTTTTTGTTAATTGAAAAATGTAGGAGGAACAGACACCAGCTGAATGGTCTTCAGTTAAGATTTCAGCTGATTTGGGAGTTTTAGTTTTTGTGGTTCTCTGTGTCCATCTTTAAAGTGGTTGTTCTAGCATTCTAATCTTGCATTTGAAACAACTTCACAAACTTACATTCCTTCATCTTAATGAATCCTGGAAAACAGGAAATGAAGGGTTCAAAGGAAGGGCAGACAACTACTGTAAATCACCAAGCATATTCCCTCCAGAAAGCGATTATTTTAAAAACAAAACCTGTTCATCATTAAGAGATATAATTATAACAGATTGTTCAAACCCTAATGATGTTGCTCTGAGGTAATCAGTCTTTATAATCCTATCCAGTTAAAAAAATGACATTACCTTTCGCAGTATGATGAAGTGAAATGCAGCTGACAAAACATAATGAATCAAGGAAAAGTAAGACTCTCAGTTTTCAGGTACACCATTATAAAGGTCTACAGCTCATGTACTCTAATTTACAGTGAACAGAGAGTCTGTCCCAGAAAATTCTAATTTCTTCTTGCATGCACTACTATGTAAATATTTTTTTTTTACCAAGCACGCAAATTCAATTATGAGACTGTATTTTCATTCCAACAGAAGCAGCAAACCTATGTATATGGGGAACTAAATTAGAAATCCACTATTTTGGATGCCTCTTTTTTGTTGGTGTTGAGGCACTCAAGGCTTAGATTCATGAAGAAACAGTTTGAGGCTTTATTTTTACATCTACTGTGGCTATCTTTAATCACAAATGAATGCAAATTAAGAGCCCAAGCAGCTGTGTTCTCTTTCTGTTGGCAGTATAATAATGACATAATAGCCTCTATGTCAAGCATTCTCAAACAATCAGTACACTGACATTTGTTTGCAGAACCTATTGAATATTTAATTTGAAGAAATTCAAATATGCTTTTGCAGACATAAAATGTCTAAATATACTGTGTGATAACGGTGATCTTATCTAATAAGCTCTGTTGATATTAAACTCCAAAGATATTTTCTCTTTTAATTACACTGGTGCCATTTGTTTTCTGTCTGGATCAATTAATCTCAGGACACTTTAATAACTCTTGATGCTGCAATGGCCAACTGATTAAACAACATCTGACTCCCAAATAGAAACGTCTGCCTCACTGGCAGTCTATTTTAAGGTTATTTGTGTTGACAAGGAGTTTAAGAAAGCTTCCTATCAGATGCCACATTTAATTCATGGCATGAAAGAAATCCAACACTTCAAACTCTAAGAGTCTCTCATCACATTCTCTTAGTAAAAATACTCATCTCTTTTTTTTTTAAATTGTCACATGCAGTGCTTGATTTTTAGCTGACATAAGGGTTGAGCATTAATGTATGAATTTAATACCAGAAGAAATCAGCTGGATGCTTCATAAATGTTTCAAATTACAGTCTAGAGGCATACACCGTAGTTTGCTGCTGGAGTTAATGAAGCGTTTTGCTTCACTGCAACAGCAAACACATGCCCATGTACTCTCTGGTGCTAACAACCTCAAGAGTTACAGGGCATAGGTGCTCTAGAATTACTTTGCCATGCTCCTGGCAAAATAATTTGATATGCTAATGCAACATGAAATAAAATCCTGGATTGGTGGTAACTTAATTAGAACTGCTTGTCAATTAACAGCAATTGCTCCTGACCTGAGGCTCAGGAGCACATTTGTGAGTTTCATGCAGAAGATCTCACCACCGTCCTTGATACTGCACTGAATATGTATCCACTGCTGCAGCTGTGATTTAAATTAAGTAATGAAACCTTTACTTTGAAATTAACTTTCCCCTCCATTCTGTCCTGCACAGACCCGCTTTAACTAAAAAACCCAAAGGAACAGAGGATCCCTTCTGGGTTACAAGTGAGCTGTGGTGGTGGCAAGTCTCTCACAGCTGTGCTGAGCTGGGTTGCCCTGGGGCTTCTTCAATGCAGAAATACTCCTTAGAAAAGGCAATGAAAGCTTCACCTATTCTCCTCTGGTTAGATTTTTTTTTTTCTGATTTCTATGAAAAGTGGCTATAAGCACTGGATAAAATTGTTCAGATCTCCCTTAAATATCCTACTAGTGGCAGAAGAACAGACCAGCCTGCTTTTCTGGGTTATAATGCTGCTGTGTTTGAATGTGGAATAAATATCAGAGAAAAATACTCAGAAGGGGTAGGAATGCTGCAGACATTTCTGCACTTAATGAAAAAAATAAATTACAAAGGGACAAAATACAGAACAGAGGGGCTGATCATTTTGCCTGAATTCTGTTTTTTTTCCCATATTCTTCATCTGTTTTCTGGTCTGCAAATAATTTGGGGCAGAGGCTGATTTTCTTGCTTGGCACACTTCTAGCAGACTTGAAATGCTCCCACAATATGCATAACAATAAGATGTACAGAAAAATCATACTTAAGCATTGGAAATGGTTTCCACACATTTAAAAAATTTGAATAGCCCTGGCAAAAATCTTTCTGTTCTAATGCAAATCAGGTAATGGAGATCTGCCTTGGGAGAGAGCTAAAATAAAATAATATTGCAGGCACCTGGGTATTCTGAGTTTTCACACTATTAATACCACATTTTGCATGATCTCTTCATCCAGTGGGGATGCTTGTATTCAGACAATCTTGGGCTAAGAAGGTACTCTTGCCATCTTTTCTGGACTCTAAGGTGTATAGAGGAGTAAAAGCATACCTGTGTACCCGGTTTTACAAACGCAGTTGAAGCTTCCTGGGAAGTTCTGGCAGGCAGCACCATTTTTGCAGGGGTTGGAAAGGCACTCGTTGACGTCCCTCTCGCAAGCCATGCCGGTGAAACCCTCAGGGCAGCTGCAGGAGAAGCCCCCCACCAGGTTGTGGCAGGTGCCCTCGTTGTGGCAGGGCGACGGGAGGCACTCGTCGACGTCGGTCTCGCACAGGCTGCCCTCGTACCCCGGCAGGCACCTGCACATGAAGGGCCGCAGCGGCTCGTTGGCCACGATGATGACGGGCACGCTCTCGTGGGTCCTCAGGGCGGGCCCCACCGCCAGCCTCCTCAGGCAGCTCCCTCCGTTCTGGCAGGGGCTCTGCAGGCACCAGTCGTGGTCCACGGCCTCGACCCGCACCCCGCTCTGACGGAAGAGGACATCCTTGATGCTCTCGAAGAAGGTTGCCACGCCGCTGGGGTTCACGTACTGGTTGCTGCCGCGCTTGACGGCCGCCATCAGGAAGGTGTGGTTGCTGTCCTCATAGAGGCCGTAGAGCTGGATGGCCGTGCCCAGCCCCGTCAGCTGGGAGCTGGCGATGCGCAGGAAGTGCAGGTAGTGGTTGGTCAGGAAGTCCCGCACGCTGTGGGCGCTCAGGCGAAGCAGGACGCTGTTGTCGATGGTGGCGTTGCTGAAGCCCGCGAAGAAGATCCGGACGCTGCTGGTGACAGCTCCGTGCAGCCCGTCATTGCTGAGGACGGCCAGGTCAAACGTGCCATCCGTGGACCTCGCCTGCGAGTGCAGCTCACAGGTGCCCCCGGGAATGCTGAAAAGGCTGGTGACTCCTGAGGTGAGGGAGCACTGGAAGCTGTCTAGCACATCTGGATCCTGCGGCTTTACGTTGCCCAAAATTCCACCTGGGAAGAGGTTGCCATAATAATGAACAAAGATTTCTACTGTTCTGGGCTGAGACGGGTTGTCGTTTTGGTCTATTACCTTGATCTGCACAGTTCCTGTGGAAGACATCTGAGGAACGCCAGAGTCTCTGGTAATCACTGAGAGGTAGAAATCGCTGATTTGCTCCCTGTCAATCTCCCTCGTCGTTGTCAGGACTCCAGCGGTGCTGAGGCTGAAGTAGCTGGTGGCAGGGCCAGTGCTGAGCAAGTAATACGTGAAAGGACCTTGGTTGGGAGGGAGATCGGGATCCGATGACTGAAGTGTCATCACCAGAGTTCCTGCGCGGTTATTCTCCAGGACTTCTCCTTGGCTGGTGGACAAGGTAGGGCCGTTGTCGTTGATGTCTTCCAAAGTTACCACTAGAGAGGCACTTCCTGTCGCAGACGGCGTTCCTGAATCGATGGCCAGCACAGAGAGGTTGTAGACAGGCAGCGTTTCTCGATCCAGCTCTGCAGTGACCGTCACCTGTCCCGTCTGTGGGTTGATGGAAAAGGCGCTGTTCTCGTTGCCAGACCCGATGAAATAGGAAAACCTGCTCCAGCTGGGGACAGAATCTGAATCAAAGGCACTGACGAAGGTGACATGGGTGCCTGGAGGAACACCCTCGCTGATCCGTACATTGTAGGCTCCCAAGGTAAAAACGGGAGGATCGTTGGCATCCAGGACTGTGATATTAACAGTTACTTCATCTATATCTGCGCCACGAATGCTCCCCAAATTTTTTGCAAGGACTTTCAAAGAGATCCGTTCTTCTTTTTCTCTGTCAAGAGGTCCTGAAACGTAGATCTGGCCACTTTTCTCATCTACCTGGAAGCCCTTCTTTCTGCTGTTGCCAAAGATGAGGTAGTGGACTTCTCCATCAATGCCCATATCACGATCACTTGCAAAAACCTCACCTACAACAGTACCTTTGGAGGCTGCCTCTGAAACCTCAAAGTAATAAAGCTTGGACACAAAACGGGGCACATATTCATTTGTCCCTTCTAACTGGATGTTGACAGTAGCAAAGCTGCACCTCTCTTCATCTGGAACATTAAAAGCTTTTACTGTTAGATGGTAACTCTGCTTTGTTTCATAGTCTAAAAATCCCTGGGTGGTGATGGTTCCTGTGTTGGGGTCAATGACAAAGAGGTCACTGTCTGAGGACTGGATGGCATACGCAATCACAGCGTTAGATCCAGAGTCAGCATCAGTGGCGTTTAAACTAATAACAGTTGTCCCGCTGGGGGCATTTTCTAGCACGGTGGGAAAGTACTCCTCAGGGCTGAATGCTGGGGAGTTATCATTGACATCAATGACATTGACAGTGACACTGCAGTAGCCTGTTCGGGACACCCACCCTCCATCCGTGGCAGTAACAACCAGCTCGTGCTTTTGGTGTAACTCAAAATCAAGTGGTTTGGCTAGTGTCAGTGTACCAGTGGTGGTATTAATAGCAAAGATTCCAGCTTCATTTCCAGAGGAAATATTGTAGCTGATTAATCCGTTCATAGCAGCATCTCTGTCTCGTGCTGAAACCGTCCTGACCACCGTTCCAACAGAGTAGCTCTCCGGGATAGTAACGCTCATGCGGCTCTGGGAAAACTCGGGTGTATGGTAATTTTCTTCTGTCACTACTATTTCAACAGCTACCTCAGATGAGAGTGGGGGATTACCCTTGTCCTTGGCTTTCACTTTAAACAGGAAGTTTTTGTTCAAATCAGCCATTAGTGAAGATGACACAGAAATCCAGCCTGTACTCCTGTCCAGTCTGAATTTATTAGTTTTGCTCTCATCAGAGATGAAGTACTCCACTTCAGAATTCAAGCCAAAGTCCTTGTCATCCACCGCAGTAACTTTAATCAGATTTGTGCCAACCCTCACGTTCTTAGTCACAGGAGTGAAATATTTAGGGGCGAGGAAGAGCGGTGCGTTGTCATTGCTGTCTACGACGTTTATGGTGACGGTGGTCTCACTCACTAACGGGGGACTGCCCCGGTCTGATGATGTCACGATGAAGCTGTGCCTGTTGATGTTGACATTGCTGGAACCGCTGGAGTTTTGGTACCTTAAGTACTGCTTGTTGAAAATCTCTCCTGTGGTTGCGTTAATGCGGAAGAACTCAGACTGGGATTTTATGAAGTAGAAGACTTGACCATTGGACCCTTCATCTGGATCAGTGGCTGAAACCTGGGTGACCTTTAGCCCGATCCCAGGAAGCTCAGGACACTCCAGGTAATAGGATGGTTTTGTAAATCGTGGGGCATTGTCATTGACATCTGTGACAAATATAGTGACGTCTGTGCTCACCGTCCACCCTGAGTCATGTGCAGAGACCCTGATTCTGTAGCGGTCAGTGTCCTCTCTGTTCAGTGGTCTGCTGATGGTGATGTCCCCAGTGCTGGGATTTATGGTAAATGGGAGACTCGTATCCCTTATGGAGTACCTGCTGACTGCGTTCACCCCAATGTCCTCATCTGACGTTGTGACTCGTGTTACTGTAAAACCCAGAGGAGCATTTTCAGGCACAGAAGCACTGAATATCTGCGAAAACCTCGGAGCGTTGTCATTTTCATCTAAAATGTTAATGATAACTTTGACAGTCGTGCTCTGGAGCGGAGTGCCTTTGTCTGAAGCTTTTATGGTTAGCGTGTACTGAGACAGTTTCTCCCTGTCCAAGGGCCGGACACTTCTGATCTCACCAGTGGCTCGATTGATACTGAAACTGTTTTCGGTATTGCCCTCAATTATTTCGTAATTCAGCTGTCCATTCAGACCACTGTCCCTGTCAACAGCAGCCACCGTCAGTATCTTCCGTGGGGACAGGTTCTCTGCTATTTCTGCAACGAAGGGATCTTGCTCAAACTCTGGCACATTATCGTTGACGTCAATCACTGATACTTCCAATTTCTTGTAGGAGGAAAAGGGGGGAAAGCCCGTGTCTCTGGCCTCAATCCACACCACGTATTTCTGCACGGCTTCAAAATCTAAAGCCCGCCCGACAGAAAGCTGTCCTGTCACCTGGTCCACCAGGAAGGTGCTGCCCAGGTTACCGCTGGCAATGTAATAGGACAAGGAGCCTCCTCTGGCTGAAGATCCAGAGACGGTGGTGACAAGTGTCCCAACTGCTTGGTTTTCAGGGAAGGTGAAGGTCTCCTGCTCGGCCTGAACACGAGGAAATTCGGCTTTGTCCACAAACCTCACAGTGACAGTGGTAGAGTCTGTCTTGGGATACCGGCCACCATCCCTCACATGAACAGAAATGGTGACTTCGGACTCTCCTGCCAGTGGTTTTGCAGCCAGGATTGCCCCCCTTGCTGGATCAATGTGGAATTTCTCAGAGTTCTTCCCCACGAGGGAATAATGGAGCTCGGCATTGGAGCCGGCATCTGCGTCGGTGACAGTCACAGCAAACACGAATGAGCCTGAAATATAGAACAAAGCTAGGTCAGTCCTTTAATGAATGCACTGACTGAGAGAAACATCATGCCAGCCTTTCACTTGGAAGCACATCCTGGAGCAGCATGCTTTTCCCCACACTGCCCTGAAAATGAACTGCTTTTGTCACCAAAAAAGTGAGTTCAGCAAGGGGCAGGTGAGTCTGTGAGTCCACAAGACATGCACGCAGCCAAAAAATGTTGAATTGAAAAACAGGACACTGCATTTAGAGAGATGGACGTACAGATCTCAGTAACTGGGAAACAAACCTGCAGCCTTTTGGAGGCCTAGCATCCTGCTTCTAGAACATTCACACAATAAAAACCATAAACCCAGTAAGACTGAATGCTATTTTGAGTTTTCAAATTACTCTTACCCTATTTATCCATGAAAAAAACTCCACCCTGGAATTCAAGGACTATTAAGGTTACATAAGTGAACAGGCAGCATCCACGGATATTTACCCTACACCACTGTCCCTTGCAATCCCTTCTCTTCCTATTCCCCAGATGCTGCTTCTTTCTCCCCATTAGACCCTTCTGATTTTCTGAGAGTATTCCAAGGACAGTAACTAAGAGGACTGCATTTTTAAAAGCACACTGGTGAAATAGATATACAAAACTATTGCACAGGAGTACAATAACATGATTACACTCAAACTTTTCAGGTGTTTTGAATTTATGGTTCACAATAAGCTTGACTGTATGTGCACCATTTGCATTAGCCTCTGTATTTGCCCACTTACAAGTAGAACCCAGGGTGTTCTTCCTCACCAGATTTTACAGATCTAAAGCTTGATATGTCTTGCAAATTTGTCCAACCAATTTGAAGAATACTGTTGATGTTTTACTGTTACTGAAATTTAGAAAATACCCAGTTTTATATAAAAATCATACTGCTTTCAACCTCTTAAGGGAAAATCATTTGCAGGCAGGAATGGCTTTGACAGCATCCCTTAAAACTATACTTCATGTCACTATTTGTCATGTGCAGTGATTTGCACTCCAGGGGCTGGAATGTTTAGATAAGAAAAGTATTCAAACCCTTGTGAGAAATGGGACAGGAAGAAAGGAGATTCTGTCCTTCAGTTATTCAAGTTATAATATTAATATTATTACTAATTCCTCTTCTTAAACACAATTAAAAAATACCAAAAAGAAAAGTAAGTTATAAGTAAGAAAAGTAGAAAATCCCTAGCTTTTTGATAAGTTAAAAACAGAGTAAACATTGCTTAGGTTTCTAGTTATAAGAGATTTCATACAAAAAGCACCCAAAAGATATTGCCAGAAAACATCAGGTCAACCTCTGTGTACCCCTTGTGAAAAGAATTTCCAGAAATATCCCAAAAACAATCAGGCAAAGGCACTAGTCAGATTATACAAAGTTTCACCAATGCAATAATAAAACCATTTCATAATGTTGTTCTGGAATCAGAGAAGAATTGTAAACAAATCCATTCTTCCATAAAAAGGAGAAATAGTTGCAATTGTTTAAAATTAAGAGACAAAATCCAAGACATGGAAATAATCTTTTTTTCTCTTAAAAGAAAATTTGTTTTGTAAACCATTCGTCATGGAATCCTTTCTGTAGGAATCACATATCCATGTATGTGTATGTATGTGAAAACATGGAACATTAGCTGAACCAGAAATTAACTCCTGTGTTGAGTGAAGCAACTTCAATTTGGGTGTAGGCTCACAAAAGGAAGATTGCGGCCTGATTACTTTTGCTTTATTTTACTCCACCACTTGGCTCAAGGAAAGGCAACATAATAAACATCTGACATAGACACAGCATTTTTGGAAGACGCTGTCAAAATCCTGTTTAGGAATTGCTCAGAGGAGACTTTCAGAAATAAAAACAGGCCATTGTGTTCCTAACCCTAGCTAAATAGTAACTTTTTTGAGTGGGTGATCATTTACAGTATGTGTACATTATGTAACTACAGGAACATAATTGAATTTGGATGGGAGGAACCCAATAGAAAAAACCTGCTAAACTGTGGATGGTAACTTGAGGTTTGTTCCTTATTCCCACGCAGAACAAAGATAATACCAGAAAAACAGCTGCAGAAAAACTGAAAGATTTCTGCTGGCACAGCTGAGCATTTAATTAAGATGTTGCCCAGAGAAGCCGTGAATGCCCATCCCTGGGAGTGTTCAAGGCCAGGTTGAGATGGGACTTGGAGCAACCTAATTTAGTGGAAGATGTCTCTGCCCATGGCAGGTGGGTTGCTACTAGAAGATCTTTCAGGTCCCTTCCAACCCAAACCATGCCATGATTCTCTGTTCATGATTTCCAACCCAAACCATGCCACGATTCTCCGTTTATGGAAGCGCTGTTGATCGGGTTACCTGAGGGGGTGGGCGACGGCACGTGGGTGACATAGGGGTGGTGCTGGAATTTGGGCGGGTTGTCGTTCACGTCGGCCACGGACACCAGCACGCTGGCAGAGCTGGAGAGAGCCCTGGGGAAGCCCCCGTCGCTGGCCACCACCACCAGGGTGTAGTTCTCCCTCGCCTCCCGGTCAAGGAGGGCACTGGTGATGATCTGTCCTGTAGAGGGGTTGATGGTGAATTGGGAATTGCCGCCCCTAAGCCTGTAGCTGTTGGAGAGGAAAACCAAGGAAGAGAAATTGGATTAGTGTTTCAAAAGGCAGCCTGCTGCCTTAAGATAATAACTATTTTCTATACTCTTCAGACCACCATGATGATGGGTATCAATACAGACTGTCACATTTTCATCTGACTCTCTATATGTCTTCACTGTTTGACTTTTTCAACTTTCAAGGCCTGTCATAAGTGACATTTCTGGAGATTTCCAAGCATAGCTGTTTAACACTGATTTCCAATACGTGAGCTGACTGAGCCTTTAGATATTTGAAGATACCACTGGACATACTCTCAAAACTGCCTACTGTAGGCATCCTCTAGTGCTGATTTCCCTGGGCTAAAGCATTAACTGTTACTCCAAAAGGCTGATACACCTCTTAACTGAATATACTTAGAAAAAGTACCTGCAGAATATAGTTAGAAAATGTACTGTTTTTTGAAATATAATGATGACAGCTTTACAAAATAAAACGAACATTTAATATCCATATTGTTTCCTGATACTTAGTTTTGCTATTCAAGATTTCAATGTGAATTTATAGCAATTCATAGCAAATTAGTAACCACAGAGCTCTGTTAACGGAGAGTAATTGGGACCAGAGTTTAACCCTCAAACTGGTGGGTGTGTTTGTCTGTGCACACATCCCCATGTGATCTGATAAGAATTGACTGTGTGCTCACTACAGGCATGTTGTAGGGGCTACCTCTGGCTTCCTACCACACTGAGTTTGTCCCCTCTCTTGAAATGCTTATCCAGCTTCTGTTCCTACAGCATGAATCTCAAAAATGTATTTTTTAAGGTACTTGGTTAATATTACCTTTTTTAATAATTCAGATAATGGATTTTTGAGAAAAGAATGGAAACAAAAGCTGGCTCAAATGAACAATTCTCATATTCAATATTATAACCCAACACAGCTGTGATTAGCATTGCTCCTCTGCTACAGCAAGCAGCAGCTCTTCTGAGGTATGATTCTATGATAGGCTCAGAATAAAGTGGCTTTAATGAAAGAGATTAATATTCCAATCTTCACCTCTTTAAGACCAGAACAGGTTATGACAGCAGTAATAACACAGCCCAGAAGCTGCACTGAGAGGGTTGAGAGCCAGCCTGTGTAATAAGCTGTGGCAACTTCTCCTGCTCAGTCATTAATCTCTGCACAACGCCACGAGCATGCTTTAATTGCTTAATTATGATATAATGTGATTGCCATATGCAATTGTTCTCCAGCCATAGCAATGTACACCTAGAATAGAAAGAATGTGCACAAAGCCTAAAGCACCACTTAGATCTCCCTAAAAAGCAGCACATTTTATCTGTGATTTGCAGTGATTTAACCCTGAGTGGGGTATAGCAGAGACAGAAACTTTCTCTTCTGTGTTTGCACATGTTAGCACTGGAAAGATACAATGATTTTTAATTTTTTAAAAAGAAATAATAAAGACATATTACATTTGTCATAAGATATTGTGAATTGTACCTGCATGCAAACCAACTGGACAGTGTATATGTGTCTCAACAAATTGCAAAACATCCAAACTCAACCCAAAAAAAAACTATGTAAAACCAAAAACCCTTTGAAACTCTAATGGTGGCAAGTGGCGTAAAAGGAATTTGATCCAAACACTTAAAATGTGGCCTTTTGACTCTCATGTCTACTGTCTTTAACAGGACTGCTCAAGTGTGCACTGCCATTTAAAACCCTGCCACCCTCCTTTAATGACTTGACAGGTTATCACCAGAACCAAGAGAACAAGAGTTGGCACGTATGGACAGGTGACAGTTCTGCAGAAGTTCACACACTTCCTTTAAAACACAGCACATTTTTTGAGTTTGCATGAAAATGTTAGCCAAGGATTTTAAATATCCATATTGGAAACCAAAGGTTTACTTTTGAACAGACTCTAACAAGACAGAAAAAAAAAAGGAGTTCTGAGCGCTCAGCACCTCTGACATGACAACCATACATGTTCTGATCATTCTGGCTTCCACCAGTTTTGCAATACCAGCCATACTTTAAGATCTACTTTAAATGCTGAATCTGGACAAACCCTGTCCAAGAAAAACAAAGTCTGTTCCTGAGCCTAAAGAGTGTAAAACAAAACCTGAAAACAATGTTTTAATAGCTACTTATGAAGGGGAAAAAAATATTTTTATCAACTAATTCTATGATGCAGTACTGAGTGAATGACAAAGACTAATGGCAGAGATATTAAAGTAATTTAACCACACTAAAGAAATCCAAGAGCAGACTGATAATTTTTGATTACGGGGCGTAATCATTATAGTCATTCATGCTCTGCATGGAATTCTTTTTTTTATAAAGGAGCTTGCCAGAAATAGTTTCTTAAAGTATGAGTGAACAGAATTAAAAGCTTGATTGTTTCACAATTTAATAAATGGCAATTTTGGATGATTTTCAAATATCTAAACATGTCTAGATGTCAAGCTTCTATTTCTGGCTTGTAGCTAGTTGGAAAGAAAATATTTCAGTATTTTGTAGACAGCGTTTTGCCATAACATAGTTCTGTTTTATTTTACTTCCTTTAAAAAAAAATGACACAGTGGTATTCTTATACTCATTGAAGAAGGAACTGAGGTGAACTAACAAAGGTAAATAAGGAAGCTACTTTTATACCCTGCTTTGTGAGTTTGGAAACAGTTTGCAGCCACAATAGTTAAGTGTGGGAAGATTAAGAACTAATACAAACTTGCTTTACATTCCATTGGCAATGTATCTGTCCTCAGTGGATAATCTTCAGCTTGTCACTGCCTCTCAGCATCTTCATTACTCTTGTCTGTGGAACTGGGAATGGCCAGTGTGCAGCCCAGTGCCCAGTTAAGTTCCATCAACTGAGCCCTGTGCAGAACTGCCAAATTCCAACCTTTAACTGGTTTTCTGAATGGCATAAGCTTTATGATTCACCTTGGGTAATTTTCATGTTAAGACAACAACTGACCAAAGCTTTACTCAAGGAGCACATTTGCTTTCAGTGATAATTGCTCACTACATGAAAAGGTGTGAATGCAGCAGCAAGGCAGGCAGTGAGTGCAGGTGTAAATTGAACTAGCTTGCTTTTCACGCAGTAAAAAAATAAAGTAACTCCACAACTCTATTTGTCCTCAATATAACTCTAAAAAGTCTATAAACAACAAAAAGATGGATTTGCCCAAGTAATTTAGTTATACACATAAAACTGTTCTATTTTTTGTCTTACAGCTTTAGGGCACACTGGTGATGGACACTGGGGAAAAAGGAATCTTCAGGCAAGATATGAGGCAGTATTACATGGAGCAACAGTAATCGACCCACCTAATAACAGCATTTGTAGAAGCATCAGCATCCGAGGAGTTCACGAGCAAAATGTCTGTCCCCGTGGGAGCATCCTCCGGAACAGTGGCAAAATACATGTTAAAGGCAAACGTGGGGACGTTGTCATTGACATCATCCACTGTGACAGCAATGGTTCCAGTGCCAGTGAGGGCAGGAGATCCTGGGGAAAGGGGGGGTACAAAGTGCTAGAGGTTACAAACACCAGCAGGCTAATCGGAGCTCTGCCAGCTCCGATTTGGAGCCGAGCGCTTGAGCATGTCGCAGTTCACAGAGCAAGGAAGCCAGCTCAACACAGAGGACAGGGTCAGGTTTGTTTCAAAGTCATCTTGACATAAAGTACAAGTTGTGAAAGACAAAAAAAAAAAAAAGTTATTATTTTTCTTGCTCCATCTAATTCCAGAAATATTTTGTAATACAAGCTCAGTGGAAAAAGATGGTCTTGGAACTGCTCAGAAAGCCTTCCTGTAACAATTAGGACCGATTTGAAGATGTGGTTGACTTTCCTGTTTCTCTGCAAGGAGACCTTCAAAGGTGGCACGCTGACAGACGTGAAGACTCCAGCCCTCAATTTATTCACCCGCAGAACAAATAGAGTGGAAACAGTGGCAAAACCCAGCTTCCCGCGTGGCTCTTCCACTGCCGGTCACACCCCTGACCTGGGGAGACCTTCTGGGAGCGGGTGAGAAGGTTGCAGTGAGTCTCCAGCCCTGTTCAGACCCATTCTCTCCATAGAAGCAACCATCTATAGCAGCAAATAATGCTCACTCCAATGGGATACTGGCTTACGGGAAATCAGACTGAACTTATTTAACCCAGGGCTTTCATCCTCCTTGTTATTCTAAACTTAACTCTGATGAGCAGCAAGGAGCATGAAATAGCATGTTTATTCATGTGCAATCTCTCAGTATTTGTCCTCTTCAGCTTTTCCTTTGTCAAATCCAAAAAAAGACAATGAAGACTTTTACAAGTTCATGTTAGTTTTGTGAGTCCATTCATTACACTCATTTTCAGCCAAGAATCAGCAAGACATCTTCTGCTAACCAAATTCTTCCCCTGGAGAAAAGAGATCATTCCTTTCTTTGAATACATAGAAAGGAGAAGGAAAAAGTGATAGCAGAGCAAGAAACACTTAAGTTACGGCCACTTTTACTCAAAAGACAGATGATGACCATGCCTGTTTTACCCAAGACTGCATCTCTTTCCCCTTCCATCTCAGATCTGCTAATTCAGCATTTGCTGGACTGGGATAAAGCGAGGATAATGAAATGCTTAGGGCTAAGATTGGTGGAGTCCTTGCCATGAGGCAGGCATATTGCACAGAGCTGTCACTCGATGGAACGCAGGCCACCCCGTGTGACCGCCCCAGTCCTTCCAGCCCGGCAGATGATTGGGTCACTGCTATCCAAGGTTACTGCTGGAGCTCAACCTCGGGGCTGGGAAGGAGGCAGGCTCTGCTCTTGGGTCCCATCTGCCCCTGGCAAGGGCTCCAAACACAAAGTTCTTATATAAAAGGAGAAATGACAACCCGTTTTCCCACATGTTAACCCTTGAAGAAGGTGGGAGCAGCCTCAGCACAGGAAGGAGGATTTTTCACCACAAAATCCCTTGCAGCAAAGTGGTTTAATGCCCAAATGGGCTGAATGACAGAGCTTCCAATTGAAAGGCATTATAAATCTCTCAAGGCTGGGCTTGGAGGCTGCTGATCAGAGGGGAAGGATCACAACGCCAGGGGAAGAACGTGCAAGCCAAGGAGTATAGATTTCACATCACACAATAGAGGCCTTTCTCTGCTCTGCTCTGAGGTAATTCACTCTGCCAATTAATACGCTTTCAGCCAGGAAGATTACATTAAGGCAATAAGTCTGACTCATTTTTCAGCCTTTTTTTTTTTAACTCATGATTTTGTCATTTAGCCAAACACATATAGATAGAAAAGCCTGCAAAAGTGCTCTTGATTGCTGAAATATTGCCTGTGAAGTGTTTATTATTACTGCATTAAACGAAAGAGAGTCCTCAGCGGCATTTGCTGCGTGTGTCATCAAGGCCTGGCCTTCCAAACACATTTTATTGACATTCATCTCGCAGCTAATGAAATGAAAGGTTGAAAGTTGTAAAGTTTTGCAGCTGATTAAACAATTTATATATAATTCAGAAATTAATCTTGGGTAAGTCACATTCAAAGAGCATCGGTAATGCAATTCAGCCTGGAAAAGAAAGCTAATCTCACAGCTAAAACCTGAAACTTGCCGTTTCAAATGTATTTGCTAAGAAAGCCAAGGCCAGAAAATTCACACGGTGGGTTTTGTCACAAAAATGAACAGAGGTGGCAGTGCCTTTAGATCCCAACCCTTGCTTCATGGCAAAGAATGGAAAATCCCTTTTTCTCCAATTCCCCTTCCTCCCTGGAAGTGTCTACAAGGCAGCATGCAGCGCAGTGTGGGCTCATTTGTCTCAGCCACAGGGAAGGGACTTTACCAGCCAAGGCTGAGCAGCACACCAACAAAATTAGCTGGGGCAACATAAGTAACCCAGACCTCATCAACGTTAGCTTGTGGCTGCAGAGTGCTCACAGAGACATCCCAGAAGTCCCATTTTAATTCAGCTGTTTGTAACATCCCAAGTCACTGCTCCTCGGTTCTAAACCCCAAACCTTTCTCATCTTACTTGCATGGAAAATCTCACGTATTTACATTGGTTTCCTGTCTGTGTAGTTATCCAGATACGTTTTTTTTTCTCTAAGTAAAATATCACGTCCACAAATTTACTCCTTTATTCTATTACACCGAAAGACAAAGTTGCAATTTCACAGAGAGTCCTCAAAGCTTTTACTCAGTTGAAATTAAATGACTAGCTCACATTTCTGCAGTTACTGAGAAATATAAGAAGAGGAAATTACAAATGAAGTAATTTCATATGGAAAAGAAATAGCTCACGGCCAAATTCTACCGTCCTCAGTGAACTTCCAGTGAAAGCTGTGCTTGCATAAGGACCACAGAATTTGGCCCTTGGTAATAAGCAGGTTTCATAAAAAGTACATGTCATATTTGTGGTGAGAGAAGTAGTTTCCACGGTCAGGCTGAGTTCCCAGATTTCTTAGTTTTGCTTCAATAGCAAATCTTCCCCAAGTCAGTTAATTCTCATTATGGCAGAGCATCACCCCTATTTTAATATTTTGCATAAATAACTGCAGTAAATTTAGTGTAACTTCTGCAATATTAGCCAAACACACAAGATGACCCCAAACCATTCTTAATAAACCAGACATGTTACAACCTATCTAAAATTGCTGTACACAGCCACACAAGCCTCTGAGTACTTTTAAAAACAGCCCTGAGGGCTAAAGCCACAAAGAAACATACACTTTTCCCTTAGTGAATTTGCATTAAAAAATGCTATGATTGTTCACGATAGCCTGAACTATTTTTCAGCAGAAGCAGCAAGTATTTCTTTGTCAGATGCTCCTCATTTAGAGCATTTCTCTAGTGTCATACAACTAGCAGGTTTCTTTTCCAAATCCCAGAATACTATGTCTCACAGAGTCTTAGAATATCCAAGTGGGAAAAAAAAGTTTTCTAGAAGGATGGAGGAGTGAAGGAACCAAATTATGAATAAGGAAAGAACATAAAATTCAACTATATTATCTAAATGGGAGAGATTGACTTGTCTGTTCCTATTCAGTGAGTATCACATCTTTAAAATTTATAAGATGGTGCCATTCATATATTACTGTCATTATAATTGTGAATTTCCCATCTCTGTGTGCTGAGGTCTGTTTCTGTGAACTGCACAGTTTATTTCCTGGGTGGCAGCTGTACATATACACTAAGCAGACAGTCCCACAAATGTCCACACATGTCATTGCTGAAATAGAGATTAACCTGGGATAGTGTCAAAATAGCAACGCTGAGTTCAGGGGGAAAATTGCTTCCCACGGACGTTCTTCAAAAAATTTCAGCTTTTTTGCTTACATCTGCAAGTAAACATGTGTCTGGGGATGAAGAGAAGGAGCAGACCTTGGGAGCCTGTGGTGGAGGATGAGTTACAGAGAGAGGTTATGAGAGGCCACCTTGGGCTGGGCCAGCACTGGGCTGTGGCTCCTCTCTCTGCATGGGACACTGGGGGAAGTGACATGAAGAAAAAGCCATGGGAATGTGGGTCAGGCAGGCAGCAGGATGGGACAGGATGTCTCTTGCCCCAGCAAGATGGGACTGCTGGAGAGCTACGAGCAGGTTTTCTGCTCCATTCACCCATACTTGCTTGAGGCTGATCACAAGAAATATGATGATATTTGTAACTTTTTTACTTTAAAAAGTTGTAACAAGTGCTCTCAATTTTTTCCTCTCCCTGTCCAGGAGAGACGAGATGAAAAATATTGGCTCTGTGCAGTAATTCAAACAGACGAAAGGAAACAATGCAGGAAGGTGAGAATGCAGTGGGGAGAAACACCACTTAACCTGACAAACTCTGCTTTTCAGATGCTGGATAACCAGCAAAGAGAGGTCAATACACCTTTCTGGATTAACTCATTATAAACCACTCATTGCCCTCACCTAAATATTGTACTTGCGGGGTGCCCTTGTGGCAGGAAGGAATGCTGAATCTGACTCCATGTTCTCAGAAGGCTAATTGATTATTTTATGATACTATATTATATTAAAGAATACTAAACTAAACTATACTAAAGAATACAGAAAGGATACTTACTGAGGGTTAAAAAGATAATAATGGAAACTCATGACTCTCTCTCCAGAGCCCTGACACAGCTTGGCCCCAATTGGCCAATGAGTCAAAATAATTCACAGCAGAAACCAATGAAACAATCACCTGTTGGATAAACAATCTCCAACCACATTCCAAAGCAGCAAAACACAGGAAAAGCACATGAGATAATATTGATTTATTTTTTTCTCTGATGATTCTCAGCTGCCCAGGAGAAAAATCGTGGGCAAATGGATTTTTCCAGAAAATATGACTGCCACACCTAAAGACTGCTTTTACTTTTGCCTCGGTCCATCCATGCAGCCTTGGAAGAAGGGAGCACCACGTGCTTGTCCCTTGTTCTGGGGAATGGGGAAGGTGAGCTGTTTGGGATCCCTGAAATCCCCCAACATGTGGCAGCATCTATTCTGGTACATGTTCAGCTCTCCACAGCACATCTGG